AGTGAACTGGCAGATCTGGGATGATGCTGGGGGCTTCTTGGCAGTTGGAGCCAGAGCAAGGGATGGATGTGCCGGGCCAGCACCAGACACCCAAGCCAACAGCCCCCTCGTCCCTGGAAAGCATGGGCATGAGCAAAAGCAAATGCATTGGAACAGGGTCTCCAGCCATTTTCCCTCCCTATAAGGCAGCCTTGTCTGCAGGGGAGAGTGGAAAGCAGTCTCTCTCCATATCTGTTTTGGTAGTTCTGTGATCTGAATGGTGCTATATGGATATGGTTTGGGCTTTATCTTTCTCCCAAGGTTTCATCTGCTCAGCCCCAGCAAAAAAACATTTAAAAGTAAAGAGATGGATGCCAATATCTACAGATTTCATAACATCCTTTATTCCTGTCACACTAATGGGAAAGGTAGGTAGTTAACACTGGAGGAGTTTTTTACTGTGGGTTAACATTTGTGAATTTTTTTTTTTTAATTTAAGCCAAAATGTAAAGCTGGTGTCACACACACACACACACACACACACACACACACACACACACACACACCCCTCCTCATTTTTGCTCTATCTGGAAACTTACTCAAGTTTCATGCTTTCTCTTATTATTGGAGATGTGAACATTACCCACCAGATTCTAGAATTTTCCATGAGCCAAAGCCAAATTATCTGAGTCATGATTGCTATTTCTTCTCTCAGCAGGAAATCCAAATGTGATTGGTAGATTTTTAAGAGTCTAGTTCTAAGGACACAGGCACCTAAGTCTTTTTAGAGAGATGTTATATTTTTAATCAAGTAAATGTTTTAATTACTAACAGGCCTCCTACCTCCTACTCTCCCACAAGACCTGCTCAGGAATTTCTCACAGGTCTCCTATGAAACATGGAGCAGCAGCTTACTCCTTTGGAGTTCTGATTATAAGGACTGAAAAACACTTGGTAGGAACTGTTATGTGTTTTTTTTTTCTTTTTTTTTTCTGAGCCACAATAGTAGCCAAATAGCCAAATATAAAGCAGGTCTGCTTTGCCTTATATTTGGAAGTCTGCAAGAAGAGGGAATCAGTGAAGAATTAAGCAATCTATCCCCTCCCTCCCTCATTCCTCCCATCCTCTTCTTATTCCTCCACTTAACCTAAAGTTTTGGTGGACACTGGGACCTCTCATGGGTTTTATTGGCAAATGCAGTTGAACCCCTAAAACTACCAATATAATAGGAAAAATACTGAACTGGGAGAAACTGCAACCTAGATTCTTGTTCTTGTTCTTCTTTTGCAACCAACCAACTGTGAAACCTTAAGTGTGACATGTGACTTTCTGGACCTCACTTTCCCCTGCTGTGAAATGAGTAGGCAAGGGATGCTGGTGGTTATATTAAATCTCAAATGCCTCTAGGGATTAGGCTAATGGGAAAAATTAATGAAGTGGGCTGGGCAGAGCCTGTCCCTTGTAATGGGGCAGCTTTTACCTCTAGCCAATTCTATTTCCAATGCTATGTGAAAATGTGGGCCCAGGGATAACAGGTTGTCCCATTTTTCATAAGAGAAATCTGAGACCCAAAAGCTGAGAATTCTAAGTGAAATATCTTGATTTTTCAGATGTTGAAAATGACTATTGGGTGACTAAACATGTCAATGGGCCAAATACAGCTCCATGACTGAAAGGTTAAAGCCTCTGGACACAATTTTCTCGATGACCATGACCTAAAACAGCTCCCAACAATAAGCATTCAAATATACCATACACACAAAATCATATTTGACCCTGAATAGCCAAAGCAATCCTGAGAAAAAAAGAACAAAACTGGAGGGATCTCATTTCCTGATTGCAAACTATATTACAAAGTTATAGTAATCAAAACAGTATAGTTTTGGCACAAAAACACACTTAGATCAGTGGAACAGAATAGAGAGCCCAGAAATAAACCACACATATATGGTCAATTAATTTTTGACAGAGGAGACAAGAATATATAATGGGGAAAGGATAGTCTCTCCAATAAATAGTTCTGGGAAAAGTGAATAGCCATGTGTAAAAGAATGAAACTGGACCCCTATCTTAAACCATACACAAAAATCAACTCAAATGGATTAAAGACTTGAATACAAGACCTGAAACCATAAAGTTCCTAGAAGAAAACATAGGAGTAAGCTGTTTGACATTGTTCTTGGCAATGGTCTGTTTTTTAGACTTGGCATTAAAAGCAAAGGCAACAAAAGCAAAAATAAACAAGTAGGACTAAATTAAACTAAAAAAACTTCTACTCAGCAAAGAAAACCACCAACAAAATGAAAAGGCAACCTACAGAACAGGTGAAAATACTTGTGAATCACATATTTGACAAGGAGTAAATATCCAAAGTATACTGGGAAATAATAGTGAGGAATTCAGTAGTAAAAAAACGTCATATTATCTAATTTAAAAATGAGCAAAAGACCTGAATAGACATTTTTTCTGAAGAAAACATACAAATGGCCAACAGGTATATAAAAAGGTGCTCAACATCACTAATCATCCGGAAAATGCAAACCAAAACCACAGTGAGATACCACCTCACACCTGTTAGGATAGCTATTATTAAATAGGTAAGAGATAACAAATTCTGGCAAAGATGTGGAGAAAAGAGAACCCTTGTACACTGTTGATGGGAATGTACACTGGTACAGCCACAATGGAAAACAGTAAGGAAGTTTCTCAAGAAATTAAAAATAGAATTACTACATGATCCGGAAATCCCACTTCTGGGTATATATCCAAAGGAAACAAAATCATTATCTGAAAGAGATATCTGTACTCCCATGCCCATTGCAGCATGATTAGCATAGATATGGTATGGAAACAGCCTATGTGTCCATCAACGAATGAATGGATAAGAAAATGTGAATCAAATAAAAAAATAATAATAAATAAATAAATAAATAAATAAATATATATATATATATATATATATATATATATATAAAGGAATATTACTCAGCCTTAAAAGAGAATGAAATCCTGTCATTTGTAATAACATTGAAGAAGCTGAAGGGCTTCATGGTAAGTGAAATAAGCTAGATAGAGAATGGCAAATACTATAAATGGCATCATTTGTATGTGGAATCTTAAAAAACAAAGGAAGAAGTCAAACTCATAGAAGCAGAGAGTAGAAAAGTGGTTGCCAGGGTCTAGGAGATGGGGAAAAGGAAGAAGTTGGTTAAAGGTTACAAACTTTCAGCTATAAGGTCTGAGGATGAATGTATAACATGGTGACTCTAGTTGATAACATGATATTGTAGAAATCTGCTGAGCAAGTAGAACCTAAATGTTCTCACACATAAACAAAAAAGGTAAACATGTGAGGTGATGAATGTCTTAACTCAGTGAGGGAAATCCTTTCATAATGTATATCAGTTCATCATCTTGTACACTTTAAATATCTTATAATTTTGTCAATTATACCTCAGTTAAGCTGAAAAAAATCACATTCTTTATTCCTAAAGTAACCACTGATGTTCAAAAACCAGAGAATGTAACTAGATTCAGCTACAGAATGTATTAATTTGCTTAGCTCACTCTAGAACTATGAAGATATTCCTTTGGTTGAGTGATGTGCACAGTAAATCAAATAAATGATCTCATGCATCATGACACATGCATATGGCTTCTTATAACTTTGTCTTTTGGTTAGTTAGACAGACTTCTTTCCAACCATTGCCCCGGCAAGAACACAGGAAGAAAAGGCAGCCATGATATCCTGATCATGGGGATTCAAATAAATAATACAGTGAGATGGAAAACATTCTCAATGTTTAAATTTTAACTGGCAGTACATATTTCGGGTCTTTATTTCCTCAAGGTTTATTTTTAAGTTTATATATAGGGAACTAAAGTGATAACTTTTTTGCTTTTTCTAAAGTATGGCTTAGTATGACTAAGTATGGCTTAGTCGCTCCCAGCATGTCCCTAAAAGACTTCAACATCTTAGATTGGGTTTATGAGAAATAATGAGCAAAGGAAAAATACTGGGTATTGACAGTCAGTCAAACAGATGATGCAGGCAGGCTTGCCTTCCAGGGTTTGCTATGCAGCCCATCAAGCAGCTGAAGGGACAGTATTCGGTGAAAGGTCCACAATCACGCTTCAAGAAGTCAAGTCTCCCTCAACTGGTCTGAGACCTCTGAAATCTAGAGCCTACTGCCAGACGTCCCATTTTCACTTTGCTGTACAGGGGAGGCAGTGAAAACATTTCTAAGTTACTCCGGAAAAATAACCCCCTGGCACAGTTTCCAAGGCATTTTTGCAAAGTCAGTAACTCCTCCAACAGCCGTTCCCAAACTCTGGGATATCACGGACCAGATACATTTCAAAGCAAATTTGCTGCAGCTAACATTAGAAAGAAAAATTATCAAGAGAGGAATTACAGTAAGACAAAAATAAAAAATAAAAAGAACACGAAAGAAGGCCCAGCAACCAGATTCCATCTATTATCCCAAAGTTTCATATGAAAAAACAATGACATTTGAAATACTAAACTAGTAGAAAGAACATACTCTCAAAATGCAGGACCATCTCTTGAGTTGAACACAATTAACTTTATTAAAAACTTACCACGCTATCCTGACGTTTTCCCCCTGTCCACAGTTCCACGTAACCATTACCGGAATGCGCGAACCACTGTTATTCTACCTAGTGGTCTACAACTGTATACTCCTTAACACAGGACTTAGTGCCATGTGAGCACATAACATTTATCATTAGTATATCAGAATATCTTTCAAATACATAATTTTTTTGGCTTTTAACCAGAAACCTTGTAGGAGCTCCTAAAAGGCTTTGATTTTAATGAATAAATGTGCCTTGCCCTAAATTCTCTGCCCTTGGGGCTCGTGGGTGGAAATCAGGTAGAATTTTGATATAGATTCTCAGTTATAGACAAACCAGCACTCTAGAATCTGTATAAGAAGGTCATGGGAGCACACCTTTGTGGAGACCCCACACACCAGAAGGAAGGAGGTGGTGGACGTTACCTTTGGAATGCACATTGTGGGCTCGGACAAGCGAGGGTAGGTGTAGGAGCTGTAGGAGTGTCCTTGAGGGTGGGTTTTAAATGCACTTGCTCCGAAGGGCATCATGGGTTCCTGGAGCCCGGAGCCTGACCGTGACCTCTGCCGCATGGCGGGCTGAGGGCTTGTCTGACTCAGGTATGATGACTTTGGCCTCCTGTCATAGTCATCCAGGCTGGGTCCCCACTCACTTTCGCTGTACGCCAGGCTCTCCTTGGAGCACCCACTGGTCCCTGCAGTTCTAGAAGGCGTGAATTGGAATGGATAATCCAGAGGGGAGCTGCTTGAGGCTCGCTGGTACCCCCACTTGAGGTCACTGTACTCACTGGGTTTGCTCAGTGAGTCCAAGTGTGTGTGATAATCAACAGGAAACCTGGCTCTGTTGGATTGCAAAGGCTTCATCTCAGAATAGTAGGCTTCCCCATGTTGCATTTTCATTACGTGCCCATTTTGCTTGGCCGAGTGGCTGCCTTTATAAAACGGGTCCAAATCCTCTGCATAGAGACTCTTTTCTTTGTACCTTTCCGTCGCATAGTCAGCAGTGGTATCGGATTCGCTGGAATACTGTGAGAAGGTGAGGAATCCATTTTCTTCCCGATGGCCTTGACCATGGCTGGAGGCTCCCTGGTCTGGGGTGGGCGGGCTTTCCTTCCTTAGGGAGTTGGAGCGGGTCACGGAGATGTTGTCGAAATCCTCCAGAAGGCCATTGATGGAGGTTTCCTTGCAGGGTTTGTTTCCTCTAACGATTGTCTGGGAATAAGAAAGGGAACACTGTTTAAAGAAAACACTTAATGCTTTCGAATTGATGGAAGAATCCCACCCCGAATCCATCCAATTTAAACCAGAGAGGAAAATAGGCCCCAGGAACATTTCATTAAAAAAGATTTAAAAAAAAGTCTGTTGGTTGATTTGACTGGTGAAATAAATCAAACATAAACAATAATCTCAAACTGCAAATTCTTCCTTACCCATCTCAACAGAGAGATCAAACATCAAAAAACCATTTAGAAGACTATATATAGGATATTACTGTCTTATTTGCCAGTTCATTGTTCCTCCACTTAATAATAAACCCTAGCTATCCAACAATAAACTGATGACTATAATTTTAAGTCTATAACTCTTTTGTTATAAAAGGTATATTTATTTTTTATTTATATTTTACATTCATCTTCCAGATTATTTGCAAAATCAAAAACATTGGTACTTGAATAGTAACATACTCAGAAAGAGGTGCACATTTTTTATACCTTTTTATGGAAGACACATAATAATTGAAGTTATCAGATTTTATAGAAGAGGAAGAAACTTTCTGAGCTGTAAATAGGGAACCGCATGAAGATTACTTGCATGATTTAATTTGTGATCTAATGTGATGTTCTTATTAAGTATATAACTGTAATGCTTTCTTGGCCACACTTCTGTGTATCATCATTGCTGAATTTTGCATAGCTTGGTAATGATGTGCTTGTACCCGAATCTTAGTGACAAATTGCCAAGCCCAAATGTTCCCTTTAATGAGCCTAAATAACACTGGAATGAACAACAGGAACAGAAAGAAATCAGAAACTACTTACAAAACCAGTCAGCTGCACCCTGACAATAACAAGTTTTGCAATAAAATATGACGGGGTGGGGGGGGGGATAAAAGAACAAAGAATAAAGTGTGACTTCAGACTTTGGGATTTCAAGAGAAAAACACCTTTGAGAAAGTAGCAAGGAGTTCAAAGCTATCTCAGTTAATACAATAGATTTCAAACTGGAAGAAAAAGTCAAAGTTGTCCTAGAGCATATGTTTTTACAGATCAGTGCTTCTCCAACAATCCATAGTGAAAGACAAGGTTTGGTCTTTTTTCCCCCCAATCAGTCCTGGACTAAAGCCTTTGGTCTCTACCCTTTTCTTTTAAATAGTTTAAGTCTGGAGTACTTTCAGATTAACAGAGAAACTGCAAAGAGAGTTTTCATATATCCTTCACCTAGTTCCCTGATTGTTAACATCTTGCATTACTATTAACTAAACTCCACAGTTTATGTAGATTTCATTAGTTTTTTTCCCTAGTGTTCCAGGGTCCCATCCAGGATACCTCATTACCTTTATTTGACATGTCTCCTTAGACCTGAGACAGTTTCTCAGACTTTCCTTGTTTTTGATGACCTTGACAATTTTACCGGTCAGGCATTCTGCAAAATGTCCCTCAATTGGGTGTGTCTGAAGTTTTTCTTATGGTTAAACTGGGGTTATTGATTTTTGGGGAGGGAGATCACAGAGTAATATACCAATTTCATTACATCATATCCAGGGTACACATGGCTCATCACTGATGATGTTGCCCTTGATCACCTGGCCAAGGTAATGGTTGCCTGGTTTTCACACTGTAAATTTATATTCCCCTCCCTTCCCTCCCGCTTTCCACCTTTCACTCTTTGGAAGCAAGTCACTAAGTGCAGCCCATACTCAAGGGGTGTCAAGTCAATATCTACCTTTCTGAGAGGGTATATCTACATGAAGAACTTGGAATTCTTCTCCGCAGGAGACTAGGCAAGTCTCCCTATTTATTTATTCAATCATTTATTTGAATCAGTAGGGATGGAATCATGGATATTTACTTGTTTTATACTCTGGGTTATAATTCAATACAGGCCATACTTCATTTTATTGTGCTTCACTTTATTGCTCTTTAAAGATAATCTTCTATTTTTTGCTTTTTTTTTTTTTTTTTAACAAATTGAAGGTTTGTGACAACCCTGCCTCAAGAAAATCTATTGGCACCGTTTTTCTAACAGCATTTGCTCATTTCTTGCCTTTGTGTAACATCCTGGTAATTCTCAAAATATTTCAAACCCTCCATCAGTAAAAAAGTTTACAACTCGCTGAAGCCTCAGATGATGGTTAGTATTTTTCAGCAATAAAGTGTTTTAAAATTAAGGTATGTATATTTTTTTAGACATAATGCTACTATACACTTAACAGACTACAGTATAGCATAAACATAACTTTTATATGTACTGGGAAACCAACAAATGTGTGTGTATCTCGTTTTATTGGGGTATTTGCTTTACTGCAGTGATCTGAAGCTGAACTTGCAATATATCTGAGGTTTGCCTGTACTATGTTGTTTTGTTGCTCAAATTGTTCCAGCTTTGGTTATTAAGAGTTCTTTCAGATTGGTTGCTGTGTCCCTATGACAAGACCTCACTCTTATTTTTTGAGCATTTGCTTACTTTCTGGCACTATAAGGTGCTCCAGGCTCATCTTGTTTTTTCCCTGTCCTTGCCCTAAAATCGGCCATTTCTCCAAGGAGCCTTGGTTCCATTTACTGGAGAACTGTATTAGAAACCAGCATCTGGGTGCTGGGTATGCACATTGCTACTGGGGTGTCATTGTTTCCAAGCCTCATTCAGTAAACAGAGCTATGAAATATGCATATGTAAAGTCACCCATGTACACACACATCTATAATTCTATAAATCCAGCTCTATCTATATTAAACTAAACCTGAATTCAGACGGATATCTCTGAATCTAATCAAGTACCACATGGTTCATTCTAGCTTTCCCCCTTACTTGTCTGTAATCCCCACTCTCCCACCAGTGAAAAACCTGGATTCCATCATCTGCTGTTCATTTACCTATTCAATCCCCATAGATATGCATAGCAGTTTCAGAATTATGAACCCACACCACTATGGGAAACAACTTTGCCAACTAGAGTATAGTGTTTATGTGCAGGGTTTTTTTTTTTACTTTAGTCTTACAGTTTCCATTCAAATCACTGTTTTTAAAAGTTACTTAGGTTGGTGTCTTTTTTCCTCACACCCCCTTCAAGGAGGTTATGTCATAGATTCTTTTGTCACACTCTGCATTCCATCTTGGGATGCTCTGATCTCCTGGTTGACATTTTTTTTTAAATTGCATATATTAGTTCACTTTTGGTGCTGGAAAGTTCAATGGGAATTGACAAATGCAAAGCATCATGTATTCACCACTGGCAGTGCCATACAGACTATTTCTACCCTCTCTCTCCTCAAATCTCCTGACCTTCCCCTAGTCAGACACTACCCCTCCCCAAACCCTGTTTTTCATCCTTACAATTTTGCCTTTTCCAGGATATCACGTGAACAGAGCCACACATTCTGGAGTCTTTTGGTCTTGCTTCTTTCACTTAGCATAATACATTTAAGGTTCATTCAGGTTGTCCCGTGAATTAATAGCCTATTCTTTTTTTTCCCCGATTCCCTTTTATCACTGAATAGTGTTCCTTTATATGGAATGTTGTAATTGTTTTTGTGGAGAGGGATATACATTGATTGATTGGTTGCCAAAATAGGTGACGTTCTGTTGAGAGAAAGAAAGAATCATATATCATATATATACTTGGGCCTCTTCTCAGAGCAATGTCTATGCAACCCCCAACAGATAAACTTGGGAGAAACAATACCTATGAACAGGAAAGAGGGAGCAGCCTGGGAAGAGGCAAATATGAAATGGACAGCTTCTAATGCATTAAATATGAATGCTAATAACTCACACTCTAAAGTATCAAGTCTGTTCGAGCAGCTTCCTATTGCACTGCAGGTGGGTCCTACCTGTTTACACTTCTCATTCTCTATTTGCTCAGGGTGCTCTTCAAAGCCTCTGAGACATATGTACTGTTACTTCCTGTGGATTTAAACTGTTGGCCTCCTCTTCTCTTCAGTAGTGTTTGTAGTAAGTTTCAAGAAAATAGTATCCATTTGTTTATATCACAGTGTATCTACTAAATTTTAGCCAGCATTCTGGATAGAAATTACCCTCTGCACATTCCTACAGATTACCCACTACACATTCAAATGTCTTACATTTGAAAAAAATTTAAAAACCAAACAATTATAAACAACTATTTCACAAATTTTTTTAATTGCCCAAGTATGTTTGTCTAGATTTCCGTGGGGATTAGAGGGTCGCTGTTTAAGCATACAAATTAACCTGTGACCTCAGAATTGGGGAGTTTGCTGTTTCTGTGCACTTATCATTGAATAGCCAAAGTATGTTCAGTTTGCATGCAAAATTATAGCAGTAAACCCAATACACAGAATTCTATACATTTGTTAATATTGAAGTAGAAATATTAATATTGCTATGAGCTAAATGCTATTTAGAAGAAAAATAAAGACTATTTACTGAATAAAAAATGTTTTGAAAAAGCAAGTAGTATGTATTTATTACCCTTGTTTTGAATCTTAGGCTCACAGCACTTATCAGCCTTGTGGTACTGGGCAAGTTACCTAATCTTTTAAGTCACAGTTCCTAATACATAATATGGCAAGAATAAATCCTTGCCTCATAGGGTTAATGGGATGATTTAATGAAATAACATGTGCAGAATAGTTGGTATGATTCCTGGCATACTAATAGTAAGTACTAATAGTGGCAGTCATTTCACTATTTTATGGGTAAAATTTACTTTTAAATTAGGTTGATAATAATTTAGGAAAATAAGAAGCTGCAAACAGATAGAAGAAATAAATCTCAGCTTTATACACTGGAAGAAAAAGGATAATTGACGTAGTAGACTTCAGAAAATTACTATTAGTAATTTTAGATACAAATGTCTTGAATTTAAACAGCTGAACCTCAAATTACTTCCAGTTGTTATATATACTAAATAGATACTTCTTATTAGATCTAAAAAATGGGATACTTTCAAATAAACCCCACCCCCTTTCAATATAAAAGAAGCCTGAATTCTAACTTGGGTAAGATGGTGCTTT